AAGTTTGTAGATAGCATCAATTATGCCATTCTCTTTGTGATTTCTTCTTAAAACCTGCGGTCATTTATTCTACAGTGTTCATGAGGTTTCATTATCTTCTCTTGTTCTCCGATTTCTGAAGAATGCATGTGGAACTCCTCCTTCTCTAGTTCCTCAAGCTTAAATCTGAAGGGTGAGAGGACAGAAGGAAGAGGTGGTGCTGAAATGTCCCAATCATGACTACTTGATCCAGGCTTTGTTTTTGTATGTGATCTCTCCCTCTGCTGAGCAATGTCTGAAAATTTGCTGTTTCCCACAAAGGAAGTGTTAAGTGCTTTAGTCCAGGTGGCTAATAATGAAAACCAGAATGACACACTTTACATTGTTAGTGGTAGTTATGGTTAGGGTAGATGGTAGGATGGGGGATTTGTTCACTTTGTTTACTTTTCTTTATTTTCTAAATTGTCTATGGTGAGTCCTTTTTAGAGTAAGAAATATTTTCAGAAAGTTGAAAGATTTCAAAATCATCAAGTAGAAAGAGTCTTTGATAGGATGTAACCTTTTCCTTACTTCCAGAGAGGCCACCAGGATGGATGTGCAGTTGTGAGACAGGCCTGCAGGGTGCAGGGAGCAGTAGCTCTGGGTGTTTCAGCTTGACCATTGCTCTAGCTGGACCATGGGTACCAGGGTTCCTGGGTTCTTTCCTTAACTTCTTGCCCAGCTGGATTCACTCCTGCTTGCGAAAAGCTGACAAAAACAAGGACAATAAGATGAGCTTCAAGGAGGTGCAGAACTTCTTGAAGGAGCTCAACATCCAAGTGGATGATAGCTACGCCTGGAAGATCTTCAGGGTGAGGCTGGGTCTGTGTGGCAGTGGGGCCTTGATCCTGCTTCAGGCCTCTTCTGAGCCTTGTCCACCTGGCTGTCTTGGCTTTGCAGGAATGTGACCACTCCCAGACGGATTCCCTGGAGGACGAGGAGATCGAAGTCTTCTACAAGATGCTGACCCAGCGAGTGGAGATCGACAACGCCTTCGCAGAGGCTGCAGGCTTAGGGGAGACCTTGTCAGTGGATCAGTTAGTGACATTTTTGAAGCACCAACAGAGGGAGGAGGAGGCGGGGCCTGCACTGGCCCTGGCCCTCATCGAGCGCTATGAGCCCAGTGAGACTGGTGAGGGCCTGGTGGTGCCAGAGCCACACGGCTGGGAGAACCCCGAGGATACTGCAACCAGAGAGAAGGGGCACCAGCCTCAGGGCCCCTGGGCAGTGCTCACCTGGCCTGCAAAAGCAGGCAGATGGGAGACAGGACTCCAACATCACTGCTTCTCTCTGGACCTCAATTCTCCTCTTGTTCCTCTTTCAGAGGGCCTTGAGGACCCCTCCCCAAGAATAGAAAAAGAGGTGGCTGGAAAAGCCGCACTATTCCTACCTTCTGTGAGTCCATTCTGAGCCCAGCTTTGAGATGTGACAGAACAGAAAAGATGGAGCCTGGCTGTAGAGGGGGGCTCCCAGCTAGAGGCCAGAGAAAGAGATGAGACCCTGCTCTCCGAGGCCTCTTGGTGTGAGGATGGAAGGGGAGGAGGCAGGGCCTCACTCTGGGGAAACCACAGTCTGGCTGGAGACAGACTTCTGCCTCCCAGAGCTGTGGAGGACCAGCTGGGGATGGGCAGGCAGAGGGAGGAGAGGGCTCCTGCTTCTGGAGTGGCAGCCAGCACATGGGAACCTCCTCCCTCCCAGCCAAGGCGCAGCGCCGGATGACCAAGGATGGCTTCCTCATGTACCTGCTGTCAGCTGATGGCAACGCCTTCAACCTGGTGCACCGGCGAGTCTATCAGGACATGAGCCAGCCGCTTAGTCACTACCTGGTGTCCTCCTCACACAACACCTACCTGCTGGAAGACCAGCTCACTGGGCCCAGCAGCACTGAAGCCTACATCCGGTGCGGTCCAGGGAAGCCTTGGGGGTGGGAGCCGTGGTGGGACTCAGGACAGGACCTGGAAGATCCTAGCTGCACCCCTACTCACAGGGCACTGTGCAAAGGCTGCCGCTGCTTGGAGCTTGACTGTTGGGATGGCCCCAACCAGGAGCCGATCATCTACCATGGCTACACTTTCACTTCCAAGATCCTCTTCTGTGACGTGATCAGGGCCATTCGGGACTATGCCTTCAAGGTGGGCATGCCCCTACAGGTGGGGAGGGAGTGCCAGGGGCAGCAAGCCCTCCTAACATGGCTTTGGGCTTGCAGGCCTCCCCCTACCCAGTCATCCTGTCCCTGGAGAACCACTGCAGTCTGGAGCAGCAGCGCGTGATGGCACGACACTTGCATGCCATCCTGGGGCCCATGCTGCTGGACCGGCCACTGGACGGAGTTACCAGTAACCTGCCTTCCCCAGAGGTATAGGGGGTGCCCAGAACAGAGGGCAGGAGACTTGCCAGGAGGCCAGGTGGGCCCTGACCGGTTGCCCCTCCATCCCCAGCAACTGAAGGGGAAGATCCTGCTCAAGGGGAAGAAGCTTGGGGGGCTGCTGCCCCCTGAAGGGGAAGGTGGCTCTGAGACCACTGTGTCAGATGAAGACGAGGCTGCTGAGATGGAGGATGAAGCCGTGAGGAGCCGGGTGCAACACAAGCCCAAGGTTCAAGGGGGAGCTGTAGGGATGGAGTAGACCCAGGGCCGTCCCCACACCCATGCGCATTCGCCTTGTCTCAGTTCTGTGGCTGCCATTCAGACCCTCTGCCCCTTCTCTCTGTCTGTCTCCCCCTGTCTCTGTGTCTGGGTTTCTGGCTCTCAGTGCCCACCTCACCCAACCCCTGGCTCTAACCCGGGCCTCCCCATGGCCCCCAGGAGGACAAGCTCAGGCTGGTGCAGGAGCTCTCTGACATGGTCATTTACTGCAAGAGTGTCCACTTTGGGGGCTTCTCCGATGCCGGCCCCTCCAGGCAGGCTTTTTATGAGATGGCATCCTTCTCTGAGAACCGTGCTCTCCGAATGCTGCAGGAGTCTGGTGAGTCCCTCCCTGCATGCAGAGGTGCTACCCAGCTGCCTGACCATGTGCGCTGGCCAGGGCTGGTCCTGGCCTCTCCCTGCTCTGGTGAGTCCCGCTGCTGACTGAACCACATCTCCCTTCAGGAAACAGCTTTGTCCGCCACAACGTGGGCCACCTGAGCAGGATCTATCCGGCTGGCTGGAGAACAGACTCCTCCAACTATAGCCCTGTGGACATGTGGAATGGGGGCTGCCAGATCGGTATGGGCCAGCTGGGGCTCGTGGAGCTAGGGTGAAGGCTCCAGTCCTGCGGCCAGAGGCTTGGGGGCTTGCAGTACGAGGCCTGGGGACCTAACCAGGGTCAGATGCAGGAGTGTATGGAGCTGGTAAACTGTTTGGAAATATCTCCCTACCAGTAAGTCAGTGTCTGAAAATGCACAATTAGCACCCTAGGCCTTGGAGTTTTGCCACCAGAAATGATATGCATGACCAGTGTGGTAGGTCTGTGAAGACAGAAAGAGAGCAGCAGTCATTGGGTGATACTGGATTCTGCTTATGACTCACATGGGACCCTAGGCTTCAGTGTATCCTGAGCAGGCTGGGATCAAGGGCCTCGAAGCCAGTCCACAGTCTGTGACTTCGTTGTCTTGCCTGTAGTGGCCCTGAACTTCCAGACACCTGGGCCAGAGATGGATGTGTACCAGGGCCGCTTCCAGGACAATGGGGCCTGTGGGTATGTGCTGAAGCCTGATTTCCTGAGAGACCTCAACACCAGCTTCAATGCACGTGCTCTGACTCAAGGGCCCTGGTTAGCTCCAAAGAAGCTGAATGTGAAGGTATGGCCAGATCCAGGAGGGATAGGTACTCATGGTCCTCCCTTCCCCGTCTCTGCCATTTTTGAACCCTTAATTATCCATCACTTTTCCTCAGGTCATCTCAGGGCAGCAGCTGCCGAAAGTCAATAAGAATAAGAACTCAATTGTGGACCCCAAGGTGACAGTGGAGATCCATGGTGTGAGCCAGGACATGGCCAGTCGCCAGACTGGTGTAATCACTAATAACGGTACGTGCTGGGTCCGGGCTGGGCCCAGCTCCTGGTGCTGAGGTCCACGCTGTTGATACATGACACCTGTCCCTCTAGGCTTCAACCCACGGTGGGACACAGAGTTTAAGTTTGAGGTGGTGGTGCCTGAGCTTGCCCTTGTCCGCTTTGTTGTGGAGGACTATGATGCCTCCTCCAAGAACGACTTCATTGGCCAGAGCACCATCCCCTGGCACAGCCTCAAGCAGGGTGAGTATCTGTTGGGGTGTGGGGATGGCCATGGTCGGGCAGGCAGGGCCTGGCTTCTTTTGGGCTGGAAGTGGCTATGCCTTGGCATATCTTCCCTGAGTAACTGGAACTCTCCTCCTTACCCATGTGCCTACCAGGATACCGCCACATCCACCTCTTATCCAAGAACGGAGACCAGCATCCATCAGCCACCCTGTTTGTGAAGATCACACTCCAGGACTAAGGCTTGGGGCATCCAGTGGGTTCTGCCCTGGGTGGGTTAGGCCCTGTATCCACACCTGGAGCCAGGACTAGTGCGGCCACTCCAACCTCTGGCACTGAGCCAGAGACCCCGAACTGCCTTTAGCTCTAACACTGTCAGTGCTGCTGCCTCTGTGGGGTCCCAGGAGCTGGCTCAGTGGCTACAACTGTCCTTAATTCCGTTAAGAAGAACATTGCGGCGCTCTGCACCCTTTGGCCAGCCTTAGGTCAAGAGTTTTTATAAGAATCACATTGAAAGTAAGCCTTGTGATCTCCTTACCTGCACACAGAAAGTCCCCAGGGAAGTGGGTGTGTGCGTGCGCATGCATGTGTGTGTGTGGGTGGGGTGCATGCGCGCCCATGTGTTCCATATTCATGGAGTTGTCTGGAGAGAGGAGCAAGAAACAAACCCCTCTGTGGAGGACACAGCCTGCAGGGTCACAGAGCGTTGTTCCCTGAGAGGGGAACCCAGCAAATAATTGGGCTTGAAAGCACATGTACCATGCCTTGTGCAGGTCACCAGCGTTTATTGACAAGGAGGATGGGGATGGGAGCTCCAACAGGGTGGGAGCAGCTTCCCCGATGGCTCAGAAGAAACCCAGCTTCTTTTTCTCCTGCTGCTGCTTCCACTTGGCCATGCTGTAGAACTCTTCCTTGGATTTCCCAAAGATATCTTGGAAGTCAGAATCTGAGAGATAGGACTGGAGGGTGGGCAGGGAGCGGATGCAGGGAAAGGGGTCACTGGAGCCCAGAATTCTGTCCCACCCAAAGGTGTCTCAGGGCATCATACTGCCCCACATCTCTGTCCAGCGCCTAGCGAGAACACGTCTCCAAGGCCACTCCAGCACAGTTCTAGATAGATACGGGTGCTGGGGCAGTGAGTGGCAGGGTCTGGATGCTCACCTCCTTGCGGGCGGGGTCCACACCCTGCGGCAGGTCTGCAGCAGCCTGGTGCATCAGCCGTTCCCGGGGCAGACTCCCACTGACAACCATGCAGGTGTCACTGACACAGCTGCTGGCAGTTGGCCTGGTGCTGGCGATGCCGGTATTCATGTTGGGGCCCTGCTCCAGCTCCTTCTGTGAACTGTCCTGGGAGCCCTTGAGGGCCAGCCGTGCCAAGGGACCTGTCCTCCTATTGCCCAGCCTTTGGGATGGCTGAAAGTTGTTGACTTCCTATCCAGAGAGGGGCCTCAGGCTGGGGTAGAGGGGAACAGGCAGCCCACAAAGAAGCCACACTAAATCCCCTGGCCCCCAACTACAGCCCTGCTGCCTACTATTGCCTGGCCCCTGCCGCTGTCTGCCATCATCCATGCTACCCGAGTCCAGACCATTGTGGGGGACTCTAGGGGTCTTAGTACTCACCGCTGTTACCTCAGAGATGGCACACCCTGATCCCAGGCTTCCCTCCATCACTTCCTCATACGACTGTTTGTTCTGGAGGTAAGAATCAGGGCTGGGACAGGAGGGACTTGAAACTAGGTCTCCCTCATATGTGCTGGAGGCCCTTCACCAGAATAGTACTCCCTCCTCCAAATTAAGAGTGGAGCCCGACATTTAAGCCCACACTCACCATCCATTTGTAGGGATCCCAAGCAAAGAACCATCCTGTGAAGGTGGCAGGCTCATGGCCCTGCTTGACCAGCACAATGGGTGTGGCCAGGCTCCTCCCTGCTGGGTGAGTCTTCAGGTATTCCCGGCCCCAGGCCACCGCCTCCTCCTTCCATTCACCTGCAGCTTCTCCAAGCCACAGGAAGACCTGGGCCACAGGGGAGGCCTAGCCTGGGGCAGGTAGATTGGCTGCCTGGAGCCAACCACCTCAGCCCACTTCCCTGTCTGTCGGATTGCCTCAGACCCAGTATGCACATCCCTGGTCAACCAGACACACAGAGCAAGCCCCCCACAAAGAACGTCACAAGCATACATGCAACGTGCAAAGCTTTACCTAGTGCCCATCGTGTGCCAGGCACTGGGGCTTCAACAATGAAAATACTAGGCAAAATCTTCGCCCTTGAACAGCTTTCATGAAGGAGCAAATACGTTTGTCTAGGGAGAAAGCGAAGAAGTAACAGTCCTGGAGGAGGTGAGGTGCCTGGCGTGTTCAGGAAACAGCGATAGAGCCATAGAGGCTGGAGCAGAAGGAGCAAGGGAAGAGTAGGAGGAAATCAGGTCAGCTGAGGCTGGCTGGGTCGGGTGGGGCCGCAGGAAGGGCTTGAGGTTTTCTCTGGGTGAGACAAGAGCCCACAGCCTCATCACTAACTCAGTGCCGCAGACACACCCCACACAGATGTACTGACAGAGACACACAATCATGCGTTGCTACACAGCCAGACACAGTTACTCACTATTGTCAAACATACAGCTACACACAAAGCAGTCACACCTGATTAGCAGTCACACACACCAGGCAGTAAGACCACTGTAAAGTCATACAGAAACAACTGCACAGGCACAACCAGTCACCAGTCACACACCTGGTCGGTTGCATGGTGTCCCCGCCCCCACAGCCTCACCATCTGACTAATCTGGCCAGTCCTAGTCATGGCAGTCACTGACAGTCCATGACTGGTCATTCTCTCACACAGCCATGTGCACAAGGCAAATGCAGTCACATGGCACCATGCACTGATACACCGTCAGTCTCTCCACTTTTAGCCAGCACTGACACGTTCAGCCACAGGCCCGCAGTCACCCACAGACAATCTGAGGGCACACAGTTAAAACTGCACATCTGGTCCAATCACACGAGTCCCAACTAGAGTCATAGTTTCCTGCAATCTCACAGCTGTCACACAGCAAATCAGACTCATCCGTGGTCTGCTGCCACACAACTGCAGTCAGTCAAGGTGTCACACACCATCACACATGCTCCCGGTCTTCTGTGCAGAGTCAGGTGGCTAAACACACACACCCAGTTGCACAAATACAGACACACCTCTGTCACGCACCAGCCAGCCAAGAGTGGCTGCATTACCTCCTGCCAGGTGTCCAGTAATATGACGTCATACTTGTCTAGGTCCTCTTGGCCAAAGAACACCACCTCTGTGAGGACCAGGCAGCCCATCTGGCTGGAGCACTCGAACAGTCGCGGCTGGAAGCCGGAGGCCTCCCCAGGGAGCCTGGCCAGCACAGGTAGTAGCAAGGTTGTGAGGAGTCAAGGGTGCTGTTCTTCCACAGACTGGGTCACACTGGCCCCGCTCGAAGGGGCCCCCAGCCCAGGACAGGGAAACAATTTCTCTGGGATCTGAGCTCTACCCACCCCGTAATTCCTCCAGGAGCACCTGCTCCTCTCTGGCTTGCAGGGTCCCTTTCTGTCAATGGAGAAAGCAGATCAGGTGATCTGTCTAGCCTCAGCCAGCTGTGACACAAGCTACCCAGTGACTGTCCCAGAAATTGGCATTAGGAAAGGAGGTCGGGGGCTCAGAGGGTGGGGCCTGAGCTAGGATGGGAGGGTCCCCTGGACATTCTCCTAACAGGGAGCTGGCTTCAGGTCCAGGGTGGAAAGAGGAGAGCTAGGCTGAGCAAGGGGATCATGGGACTGAGCTCAGAAGACTTGGGGAGGAATGTGATGAAAGACTTAGGCCCCACAGACCCATCAAGAGCACCCTGAGACACAGCTCTGCCCCTGGCACTTTGCTCAAAATAGTGATAATGCAGGGAGTGGACTCTGCCAGCAGAGGGCACCATTGTCCTGTAGCCTGGGCATCCTGATCCAAGTTACCCAGGATTAAGTGTGGGCTCCTAAGGCCTGCGGGTGGCATGCTGAAGTCCTCAGTTCCAGCCGTATCTCTCCACATCTCTCCATGCAACCCTAATTAGTGACCCACGCTCTCAGTTCCTCCTCCGTGTAAAAGTACCTTCCTCCCTACCGTGTTACCTCTTGCTGGGGTAGGGGGCCCGGCCTCCCAGCACCTCCCAGAAGTGGGGAGGCTCCTGACCCTCCAGAACAGTTTCCTTGTTATTTCCAGAGATGACAGTGACCACCATCCGCGCCATCTCACGTTGGTCACCGTTGCAGCCCTGGCAAACAGTTGGATAAGCCCTGCAGGGGGCATGCTTTTACCTCCGTCCTCCATCCCACCCACCGGGGCCTGAGCCATAGGAGGCCTGAGCTGATAGTGGGGCGTGCGTGAGCAAGGGATCTCCTTTTCTTCCCCTCCAACCCTCAGTTTTCCCCACTGTTCAGGGTCACAGGATCTGGAAGCCTCTCTGGATCCAGAGCGTGGATGGGACTCCCAGGATTGGTGGTTAATCATGGTTCATGCCATAGATCAGAGAAAATTCCAGCAAAGTAGACTAGGCCTCCCCACTTCTCCCAAGAGACCTGGAAGGACTATGCTGATGTTCAAGGCAAGAAGGAGGGGAGGCAGCTTGTGCTAAGCCCTAGGGGACTCCGAGGTCAACCTGTCACTTTCCTCCTTTAACCCTCACTGGCCTATCTGTGATTGAACTGGAAGCCTGCATCCGGTGGAGGGGACCCATGCCAGTCTGACACCACTGTCCCAGCTGCGAGTCAGGTGGCCAGTGCTGCATGTACCTTCCCAAACCAGAGGTAGCAGGCATCAGCTGTGACCAGCAAGAAGATGTCACTGGAGATGAGGGATGAGGCTCGGGCTGGCACCTCCAAGGTCCTGGTGTTGTGGCTCTCGGTGCCTTGTACATGGAAGAGCCTCGTGGCCGGTGCTGACTGCCCCTTCCCATTGTTTCCAGTGATCTCCTAGAAGAGGGCTGGGCTTTAGGCTGAGGCGAGGGTTCCTGGGGGCTGCCTCCCTGTCCCATGAGAACCAACTGCCTCAGAGCTCAGGCTACCATTGTCTTCTGGACTCTTTCTAGATGGACGCCTCGCCCCATCTTGGAGAGGTCAGGACAGTTATTCAGGCCTTGAAGGTAGAACACGGAACCCCTTTTGGCTAAACTTCCTGGACTATGCTCTTGCTTTGTGCCTACCCTGGGACCTATCTGCAAATGGGGGATTGCAATGCCCACCGGTGGGGGTCACCCTTGAAGCTTCTGGGCCTGGGACAAGCACCAGGAAACCAGGGGCTCGAAAGCTAGCCCCAGGCCTGAAGAGAAGATATTTGGCAAGGGGATGGAAGGCCACAGGCACATGGGAGACCGGTGGAGCTGCTGCCACAGTGGCAGAGTGGCCCCTACCTCGAAGACCACCAGCTGACCCTGGAAGATGGCAAGGAAGTGGGGGGGCTCGCTGCCCATGGTCACATGCACCTGCACCAGGGCTCCCTGGTACATAAGGTCCAGCTCCTCGGCGTTGTAGATCAGGGCCTTGGTCTCATCTGCGGTGGCCTGGTGGCCCTGTAGGAGTTGAGGGGTGATGGTCTGGTGCCACTTACAGCATTCATTCTCAGATCCCACCTCTTGGGCTTGAAGGTGTGCACCACTCCCTCAGGCCAGCATACCTGCCATAGGTACAAGATGTACTGGACACGGCCCAGCTTCTGGTATGTGTAGAGGACAAGATAGCAGCTGCCTGAGCTCAGCTGGCCATGATGCCTGGGGTCCACAGGCTGCCTGGCTCGATTCTGGATGCACCACATCTGAGGAGTAGAGGACCAGTGGGAACAGGTATCTGCTCTATCTAACCCAGCCTGCCAGTGTGCCCCAGCCAGAAAGCTCTCCTTGGCCTCTCAGACACTTCTTATCTGTGTGGGAATCTACACAAGGCTCACCCCACAGTGAGCCATCCCGCGGTGAGACCATCCTGTGCTTCAGTTTTTCCTATCTGCAAATGGGGGATCACAATGCCCACCGCACTTCACCCCAGCTCGGTGCTCTTCTCTTGCTTTGTGCCAGGTCTGCAGTGACCCTTTCCCCACAGACGTCACACCTGTGCCGCCTGCCTTCAAGTAGAACTTTGAGTTTGTGGGTGCTACCTGGGTAGACAAGTGGTGAGGACCCTGGAGCCTGTAAGATGGCCCAACCCTTGCCCCACATCCACCCTCAATCCTGACCCCATTGGAGCCTGCCCCGGAGAGGGGCAGATCGGCACCTGCACAGCTGCTCCCTGCGCAGGCCAGGCAGCAGGAGTGTGACTGGAAGTGAGGCCTAGGCGCTCTGGGGAAAATTCCCTTCTTTCTTTCAAGTGTCATCTAAAAAGCAAAGCTTGCTTAAAGACTTGGAATGCAATCACTTCCTCGCATTTGCCAGTGTAATTTCTTGTTCCTGTGGGTAGCCACCCGTGAGTTTTGGAGCCTGCAGACCCACATCATACCCCTAGTCTGCACAGGCTGGCAGCGAGACCATCCTGCGCTTCAGTTTTTTCTATCTGCAAATGGCGGATTGCAATGCCCACCGCACTTCACCTCAGCAGGCAGGAACACAATGCCTTGGCATCCTTTAGCCACACGCCGCCTGAGAGCTTCTCAAGGGAACTTCTCCAGCTTAGGGCATCCAAAGCCCTGACTTTATCAGAAGAGCTGACCCAGACAACATAGTAACCAAGAGTGACCTAGCTGGCAGACAAGCCTCTTGGCTCAGCACCGCCCCCTTGCCACTCATCTGCCTTTGAGCCTCCCTTACTTTCCCCTCCGTTTTCCTGCCTCTTTCCCTGTCTGTCCTGCCTCTCCCGAGCCCCCTTATCCCTCTCTGCACACCCTCCCTTTTCCCTTATCTTTCTCCACCCTATCTCCTTCTACCCTGTCTTTTCTCATCCTGCAGCCTTTCCAGTCTCCTTACCCCTCTACTCCCATCCCGTCTCCCTCTCTGCCTGCATTTCTCCCTCGCCCTTTCCCGTCCTCCGCACCGGGTTTCTTCCTACTCACCACCTCTGTCCATCCACATAGGGGCAAATGCAAAAGGAAGCTTGTGTGTCTCCAGCCGCAACTTAACTTGTGAACTGGGACCCAGCAGTCCTGTTTCCATAATCTCAGAACCTCCCCATAGCAGCCTTGAGGCCAGATGGGACCTGACCTCATTTTATGGAGTTGTGGTCTCATTTTATTGTCCTTATTTTATGGATTTAAAAATTGAGGTGTTAAGGAATCAAGAGCTCTACCTACAGGTCCACCAACAAGCTAGTGTACAACCTTGCACTGTACGGAGAGTGGGAGTGCACCCAACCCCTGCGGCTTCCAAACACGGGTCTGCAACCATATGAATGGTTGACATTTTAGGACAGATTGTGTGCTGGCAGCTGAGTGCGGGGGGCTGTGATAGATTATGTGTTGGTGTGTCCCTGTGGGTTGACGATTGTGTGTGACTGTGATGGTGTGTGATATAGCACATGTGCAATTTCATGTTTGCAGTTATGCACCTGGTTGCGATGGCACAATTACAAGGTGCATCTGGGCCCATATTGTCATTTGTATGGGTTGTACATATAACAGGCACAATTAGCGTCTAAGTGTTATGCTGTGCTGGACCTCTATGACTGGGAGCGGTCATGGCTATCAATGACTAGGCATGACGGGGTATGAGCTAGCTGTAAGGGAGTGTGTGTGCTTGTACGTGTGTCCCTAGATGCCCCCGATTGTGTGTGGACGTGCACGTGGGTGTACCCAGGTCACTTTAGATAGTTGCCATGCCAGCCTATCCCGGTGTGCCCGTCTTCCTCCAGTGCCCCTCACCTCCACCTTCCCAGAGCCATCATCCACCATCCTGAGCTGGGCCGCTAGTTCAGGCTGGCTGTGTAGCTTTCCCACATCCAGCTTTACCTGAGTCAATTTACCTGAA